CCTTGGCAGTGAAAGGGTTAACCCACCAGCATGCCTTTGGAGTGTGGGAGGAAAGCCGAATACCTGGAGGAAACCCACACAATCCTATTCTCACCAGGATTTGAACAGGGGCCCCTCCAGTGCTACAAGGCATGACCACTAAGCCACTGTTCTGCCACTAACATACTGTATTTTTTCTTTTTAGATTATGGCAAATAGAACTCACACGCAACTGACTGAATTTATTCTTGTGGGATTGTTTCCAAATCGACAACCATTGTTTTTTGTATTGTTTTTAACCATTTATATTTTCACCTTAATGGGCAATATGATTATCATTTTAACAATCACCTTGGAAGCTCAGCTTCACTCTCCCATGTATCTTTTCCTGCGAAGCCTGTCTCTGACAGAGATATTTTACATATCAGTAACAGTCCCGCGAATGCTTAAAGATTTCCTTCATCTTGATAAAGCAGTATCTTTTCTTGATTGTGCTACTCAGCTCTACTTCTTCTGTTTTCTTGGTACCACTGAGTGCTTCCTGCTTGCATTTATGGCATATGATAGATTTGTGGCTATCTGTCATCCACTTCATTACATGACTGTAATGACCAAATCTAAGTGCTTAGAATTTTCACTTGGATCATGGCTGTCAGGCATTTTACTCTCATTATTCCAAATTTCCTATGTTTTTAGTTTGCCTTTTTGTTCATCCAATATCATTGACCATGTCTTCTGTGATATTCTCCCAGTTGTAAGGTTAGCTTGTGCTAATACCTTTGCCAATGAAATTGCAATTTTGATGTATGGTTCCTTGGTTATACTGTTACCTTTTCTCCTTATTACGGTGTCATACATACATATTATTGCCACTATAATAAAAATACCATCTGCTGTTGGAAGAAAGAAGACATTTTCAACATGTGGGTCTCACCTGACATCTGTAACTTTATTCTATGGAACAGCCACAATAGTATATCTAAAAACAAAATCTGCTCGCGAATATGTAGGGACAAAAGTAATAGCTCTTTTTTACATTGTATTCATTCCAATGCTTAATCCCTTGATTTACAGTTTACGAAACACAATTATTAAAAATGCCATAACAAAAATGTTAAAAATACAATAACGGGGGGCATGCCTGCAGCAGCTGATGGCAGAAGCGTATTGAGTTAGCTCTGCTCCTCTCAAGCACTGAACTGTCACTGAAACCCAGCAGATCCAGCAGATCTCTCCCTCCTGAATATCTGCATTTATTACTGTCCAACTCCGTGTGTCCATGGCTTCTCCAAACATGAAGTCAAAGCAGAAACACCTCTCTATTAAAGATGCTCTCTCGCATGTCCCTTTTTACAGTATGCTGAATCCAGTACATGTGGAAAAGAGGATGAGGACAGCCGCACAAGCTGCCCTTCAACCACTCAGGACATTCCAGGACATAAAGTGCTCTTTGCCAAAATAGATAAAATGCTCCCCAAAGCCTTACAGTCTACTTCTAAACCAATCACTGAACAATGGTCCAGAGAGATCTCGATATATTGAGAGAGATATATTGAGAGATCTCAATATAAACTGCAGGGCAGCGTACAGGTCTCACCAGGGCTGTGTATGACTCTCACCAGGGCTGTGTGGTCTCGCCAGAGTTATGTGTGGATCTCACTAGGGCTGTGCAGTCTCACCAGGGCTGTGTGGTTTCACTTTAACTGTGTGCGGTCATACCAGGGCTGTGCTTGGTCTCATCAAGGCTGTATGGTTTTACTAGGGCTGTGTGCAGGGTCTCACCAGGGCTGCACGCGGTTCTTACTAGGGCTGTGCAATCTCACCAGGGCTGAGCGGTCTCAGCAGGGCTGCATGCGGGTTTCAACAGGGCTGTGCGCAGTCTGACCATGGCAGTGCGGTCTCACCAGGGCTGTGCGGTCACACCAGGGCTGCGTGCGGTCTCTCCAGGGTTGTATGCGGTCTCATCAGGGCTGTATGGTTTCACTAGGGCTCTGTGCAGGTCTCACAAGAGCTGTTCAGTTTCACCATGGCTGTGGAGAGTCTCATCAGGACTGCGTGCGGGTCTTACCAGGGCTGTGCAGTCTCACCAAGGCTGTGTGCAGTCTCACCAGGGCTGTGTGTGGTCTTACCAGGGTTGTGCAGTCTCACCAGGGCTGTGTGGTGCGATCCCACCAGGGCTGTGCGGGCAGGTGTGGGTGGCGGGGTTACCCCATGACTGTGCGAGCAGGCGCTGGCAGCAGAGTTTCACCATGGCTGTGTGGGCGGGTGTGGGGTCTCCCCATGGCTGTGCAGGAGAAGATGTTTGGCTGGACCGGCACTGTAAACAGGTTCCTTGAGTTTCCCAGCAGGTTGCTGTGAGGTCCCCAGCAAGCATGGAACCTTACAGCAGCCGAATCCATTTAAAAATGCAAAATGGCGGTATTGGCGCTTAGTATCGGGGCATTTTCACGAGCGTGTGTACTCATGAAAATGGCCAATATTAGCACCAATACCACCGGTATCAGTAATAGTGCATCCCTAACTACTATATATAAACTAAGAAAAGAGCAAATATGGGTATTTGGGTATATGGGTATACATTAGGGATTTTTATTGCACCTGGAGTGAGAGTGTGAGTTGTTTTGGGTGCATAGTGTTTTTACATGTTTTGTTTTCTCAATGGATGCAGTGAGGTGCTGCAAAAAAAAAAGGCAGCTCTTGAATGGACTGTCAGCTGCAACTACATGATGTGCTCCACTTTCTCAAACCTAAAAGTTATAGGGAAAGTTAGAGAGAGAAAGACCACAATTAGGAGAAAAAAAGTAGCTAACTGTAAGAAAATGGGGGTAATAAATAAAATCCGTATTGTTAATCAATGGCCACTTCTTTCTGTTCGAGAGGGAAAGGTCATCTAAGAAACACACATCACAAACTATAGGTTTAAAAATAACATATTGTACGCAGAACTATACATGCATAACTTAATTATACATAAGAAAAGATTACAATGATGACTTTTAGATTGTAAGCCCTCACGGGCAGGTCCCTCCTTACCATCTTGTCTTGAATTGCATTGTAATTGTCATGTCTTCCTTTTATTTTAAAGCGCTGCACAAACTGTTGGTGCTATATAAATCCTGTATAATAATAATAATAATAATAATAAAAAAACAATCCTTAGTTGCCAATAAATCATATAACTCAGACTAATACGGCAACATCAACAAAGCAACTCTAACACAGTCCCTACATCAAAGAAGACACATAAAAGTCAACAAAAGTCAATACATCCAAACCAACATAATATAAATCCTAAACTAGAGAGATAATAACTAGCCAACCAGAAGTATGTATATTACCAATCCTAGGGGGTGCATGGTTTCTGTACTTGATTTCATCTCCTACAGCTGACCCTTCCAGTTGTCTTCCAATGTCCCTGGCCTATCAATCTTTAGGCCTCATCTCTGTGATTTGATCAGGAAGGGTGTCGCCACGAGAAAAAAGAGAGCCTAGAAGTGTGTGTGTGTGTCTGTGTGTGTGGGGGTTGGGGCATAGAAGGTGTGGATGAAGAACTTTTCCCGGAAGGGGGGAGCAACTCTTTGTCCAGGGTGATTGACTATCTAGCTTCCCCACTGATCCTAGTTACTCTAATTCACTTATATGAGAAATCCATAATTGGCCCAGAGAACAAAATCATATTTTTCCCAAGAAAGTGATTGGATGGCTACTAAACTCTCTATTTTTAAGAGTGGCCACTAATTAATGTTCTTCACCATTCTGTCTTTGAGAAGTATCTGTATGCACATTTATGAAGTGTTCTCTTTCACACCCATCCTGAAACTCTAATACACCACCTGCGATTCTCACCCTTTCTACAGTCAGTTAGCTATTTTAGCATATCAAAGCAGCCTTAGCTCAAGGAGACAACACTGTTTTTATGACAATAACTGACCACACCATCATACCAAATGGAGACAAAAGGGGATCTGAATTATAGGGCATGACAGTTTGCATTAGTTTGCATACTAGTTTGCATACTAATGACCTTCATGACATTAAGTAAGGTTTTACATCCACTTTAACCTACTGTACCTGCCAGTGACTTCAAGCCCTACACTTATCTCTCTCTATGTAGTTATCAGCAGCTAATCACAGCTAAAACACTTTGACAATATGGCTGGTGGATACTCACTCTTTCATAGTAGGGGGGCTGGCTTATTTAAAACAGCAAAAAGTTTTCTCAGTGAGACAAGTTTTTGTGCATGCTGGCTGGTGAGTGTGCTAGGAAAACTTTTGACTGTTTTACTGTATAAGGCCCTTCCATGTGCACCTTGCTGTAAAGCTGGTAACGAATTGATGAGTGCGTTTGCCATTTGTTTTGCTTGGCTTATTTAAAAGCCCCTTTATTGGCTCTTAAAGCTAGCTGACTTAGCTAATTGACTAGGCAGGTTATTATGGTTACTACAAACCATGAAAATGCAGCATTAGCTGCACACCCGTGGCAGTTGCAAACTCGAAACTTATCCATAGTTGCCAGTATATTACTTTTTAACCACATACCTCATAAAATTGTGGAGTTTATTAAGTATTTCTGTTTACAGATCTTAAAAACCCTTAAAGCTCATGCACATGGCATGTAGGCATGTAGGCATGCAGCGTATGCGGGAACTTATGCCGATGCTTGTGTAAATGCTGGTAGTGGCATTTACACACATATACCTACTTACAGAGCTTTCTATCCATACACCCCTAAAGATAGAAAAATTTAGCAACTGGGGCTCCCAGGCTGCCATGTGCATGAGCCCTTACTCACAAAAATTGAGGAATTGTATTAGTTTAATTCTTGCCAGTTTCTGAAAGAAATAATAATTATCTCAGTAAATCAATACAACTGAAGTTACTTTTAACTCACACAATTACTTTCAAATCCCTGAGCTCCAGCTAAATTTCCCAAACGTTCAGTCAAATCTCCTTTGTATTTTTTCAAATAAATAAATTGGATTTTCCTGGTAAGGGATACATCATTTTTAAAAAGAGAACATGAACAAGAATGCCATGATCACTTTTCAACAATATCTTCAAATGTAGGAAACAGCATTTCTCGAAACACTGTTGACATCTACAAATCAATTATTTTATTTTGTTATTTTTATCTACATTTGCTTTCACATTTTTGTAGAAAACTAATTTCTTTCTTTAACACATTGTTTTATATTTAAATCCTGGCTTCTGCCCATTTTACTTTGAAAGGCTGTCTTTGCACATAGACTATGGAAATTTTTGCACATATCTTCTGATGTCAGTACACAGACGATAGAAGATATATCATGGCTTAGTGCATTTTTTCTTACTAAATATGTTGTTAATTGTGTAATATTACAGATTTTTGACTAAACAACATACCTGTTGACCTGTTTGAGGTGGATTTGAAATTTTTATTCATCTAACCATCTAATTAAAAAAAAAAATGAAATTATTTTGTACAGGTATATTAGTACCAAATATGAATGTATACCTCAGAAAATGCAGTATTACAAACTAAATTACTGCTAAACTAAATTAATAAGCTGCTAACAACAGAGCACATTTAGGGAACGTTACTTAGGTAGCTGTCGACATCAGATAACATTGCTACTTCAGATAACATTGGTGATTAAATATATACTTTTTAGAATTTCTTATCTGAAAAGGAAAATGTTTAGTTACAAATTTACATAAAATTTGTGGTATCTTCCAGCAACAAATTCACTAAAAAGACCGAAAACAATGTAAGTAGGAATGCAAATAAATATTCTATAAGTATCAAATTTCTATCAAATGTATTAGTTCCAAATGTCAGCACCTATCTAACACATGCAATATACCTCTTTTGGTTTGCTACAGGTTTACTACAGGTTTGCTACATGTAATTTGATCGTGGTGTGCTTCTTGTATGCATTCATAGCATTTAAAAAACTGAGAACTGACCTGCACAAAAACACTTAAATATAAACTGTGCTAATAAATAGAATGGTATAAACTTACTGGTTCTAGAAATGCATAATTGACGTTTCATTACTTGTCTTATTTAATGGAGAACAAAAATAATAATGATGATAACTAATTAGGTTTAGGCTAGGGCACATACATTTTACTTGCTAAATAGTGTGACTAAAATCTCCCAAGATCATTTTTTATCGCTGTGGAGTTACACGTAAGATTATAATATTAATTATTTATTTAGTTTTTAGTTTTTTTTGTTAGATAGCGAGGAGTAGCAGTATCTGGAATGGACATTCTTTGCAGTAAAGTGCTTGTTCCTATTTATAGCAGTTTGCTGTTGGCCTATATGGAAAGACATCTGCTAGTAAGTGTGCATGATGGCTAGATAAGGTCAGAAATGAACAGGAGCAGCAACTTGTTCTACACAGGCTTTAATCCTGTAAAAATAAAAGAGCCTTATAGAGAAGAAATAAAAACAGCACACCGTGATAAAACTGATAAGAATTTTTATTGTCGTAGATATAGCTCTCACTTAAAAAACAAAAAAAAGTTTCAAACAAAACAACAGTTTATTTCAAATATTGTTGGCATTTAGTGGATACTAGGAATCAATGGATAACTGGGTTAATGCGCACAAACCTAACCAGCAACTTGGAGTACGAGTACGTGAAGTAAGTTTATATACTGTATACCTGTTTAAGATACAGTATACTATAAATTGTGTAGAGTAATCAAAATGTAAGAGGACAATGACACATTAAAAATAGGTTTGGACAAAATAACACCACAAGTTTAATGTTCATAAAGGTAAGATTATATCCCTAGGCTGTGTGTTGCTCCTATACACGTAACAGAATACCAATAAAATAGACATGGACAAGGGTTAGGAAATATGGACTGCCACTACACTAACAGCACTTTGTGGTTCTTATTAAAGTGTAATATAGCCATAACTTGTGGAGTTATAGAGTAGTTTTTCCCATGTACGGAAACCATGGTAGGAGTTTTGTTTTGTTTTCCCCTGAACCAAAACTGGCACTTCTCAAAAACTGAACTTGATTAAAATTTGCCTTTTTTAACCTAGTTAAAGAATAAGAAGGAATAAAAAAACATGAAAGCTTCCATTGATGATTTCTCCTTCTGCTGAAGCTAGTTACCTGGCTTTTATGCTGACCCTCTGCATTCAAAAGTTTTAGTCACTGGCCCAGAACAAGCGTACATATTAGAAAGTCTGTATTTAGTCGTTAGACTTTCCTAATCTGCATACTTCTTCTGTGCATTGACTCAGAAGGTATTGAATCCAGTGGCACATTAAAGTGGACCTTCCATGAAAAATTGAAGGTCTGCTTTCTTGCAAGCCCCCTGTCAGCTCCAGCCAATTGCAGGAGAGCACTGTTATGCAATTTCTACTGCTAAACAAAATCAATTTATAACTAGCCTTAAAAGCAAGATGCACATGGAAGGGCTTGCAACAAAACAAAACACAGACATTTCCTACCACACTTACCAGCTAGCCTGCAACAAAGCAAATTACACTGTCTAACAGTATGCATTAAAAACAGAGGTTTTAGTTGCACAACTTTTGTATGGTTGCAAGCCCTTCCATGTGCACCTTATTTTTAAGGCTAGTTATAAATTGATTTGTGATTGTTATAGTACCTCCATGATCCACATCTGTACAGCCATGGGCATGGCCCTTCTTATCTTTGTGCATCGTTTCACATGCTCATGTGTGCCAGCTCATCTAGCTATGAGTGGTTGTGCATGAAGGCATGAGCGTGTGGCCATGTGAATCATCGTGTGTGCATTAGTATGTGTTCCTGAAGCTAGGCATGCTTTTGTCTATTTGCCAGCTACCTTGTGCACTAAGATTCCTGCTGTTCCTGATGAGCCTGTTACTGACCTGAACTGCTTCACCTGTTCCTGATACTCTCTTGCCTGCCACCTGCATTTGACCTCAGCCTGGATATCAACAACTCTCTTGTCTGCTGCCCACCTGAACACCAACTAGGCTCTTGCCTGCAGCCTGCCCTGACCTTGGTTTGTCCTCTGACCCCTGCTATCTAGTACATTGTATCTACACCATACCCACTCTGTTCCTGCAAACCCCTTGGTGGATGATCCCGAGGAGTGCAACGTGGTGATAGCTTGCAGCAAATAATTTGGGGGCCACTAGAGTCACCAGTTCCTTACTTTCCACAGGGTTCTTTGGTGAAGATCAAGCTCTTACTTAGACTATGTCTTGGGTGAGCTTGTGTCACCTACCAAGGGAGTCAACCCTAAGACAGAAGCCAGGACTTAAGTGAACCTCTAACCAGTTAGGCCCCTAGCATTGTAACAAAGTGAGCAAAGCACACCTCTGTATTTCTCTCATGGCAGCGTCACTTAAAACAGCAGGTACACATTAGAATCAATGTGCCCTAGAACAGAATATATGTATTATCGGACCTTTTCCATCACACTGCCTGACCTGCATAGGGACCCAGTAAAGCATTTGCATCAGCTGTGATTCTCTAAGGGCTCATGCATTTAGGTGTAATAAAATATGACTATCAATTATGGATCTTGCTGCCAGAAGCTGGCTGCAAGATCTTGCATAAAGGTTATCCATACACTGCACACAAAATGTTCCTGTGATGTTTACATTCATAGAAGCATACAGTGCAAATATGCATTATTGGTTGCTAGGACACTAGGTGGTTCAGGGCGTCTGCAAGCTAGCAATGAATGACGCTAGGTGGCTCAAGCTGCCTGCATCCTAGCTACAATGTGGGCGGAGCTAGTGCTCCTTTTATGTATTACATTATGATCTGTTCTTGTGGAAATCAGTTCTCCATCAAGTCTGTGTTGATGGCTGGTGGAAGCAGCCTTTTCCTGCTTGTGTATAACTTGATTGGCCAGGGTCATGATCTGTACTGAGATGGTCTGTACTGGGTAATGGTCATGTGACAGAGACCTTTCCCATCCTTTGTCTGTCCCTCCATAGGCACCTGATATTTCTGGCTGCTATAGAGCCAGATTATGCCAGTTTATTACATATCATGCTGTATAAAGGGGGCTTCTGCTTCCGTGAGGTATTTTTTTTTCTATTATTTGTAAGCTGCATTGCATCTTTTTTGTATCATACTATATTGATATGTTTACTAAGTAGTTAATGTTATTGTTGCCATTAAATTAATTTTAAAAAGACAAAAGTCAAGCAAGCAGCTACATATATTATTGAAATACATATATTTGATATACACTGAGTGGCCAGATTATTATGACCACCTGACGTTTGTAGGCAAATTAGCTATAATTTTGCGCTGAAGTTGCTAGAGGGCCAGACCATTATAAATAGGGAAGCAGGTTGTTTACCACGACAGTAGAAGTGATTTTTTTTCTGAAGATATGGGTAAACAACGCGATTTAACAGCCTTTGAACATGAGATGATTGCTGGCGGTCGGAGCCATGGAGCGAGTATCAGCAAAACAGCAGAATTGGTTAAATGTTCAAGAGCAGCTGTTGTTAAAGTGTCAGCCGAAAATCTGGGTCTGAACGTGCGAATTGTGGCCGTCAGCGACTAGTCAATGTTAGGGCAGAACGGAGAGTGGCAAGACTGGTACAAGACCACAGAAGGGCAACAGTGCATCAAATTACTGCAGATCTTAATCAGGGATCCTCTCAAATGATCTCTGAATGCACTGTTCACCGTACACTGCATCGTATGGGATATGAAAGCCAAAGGCCTGTTCGAACACCTTTGCTGTCTGCAGTTAACAAGATAAAACGTCTCCAATTCGCACAGGAACACAAGGATTGGACAGTCGAGCATTGGAAAAAAGTCACGTGGTCCGATGAATAACGTTTCCAATTGAATCATGCAGATGGCAGTGTGAGAATTTGTCAGGAACAGCATGAAAGCATGCACCCCACATGCATGAGTACAACCCTTCAAGCTTGTGGGGGCAGTGTTATGGTTTGGGGCATGTTTTCCTGGCATGATTTGGACCCTTTAATTCGTGTGGAACGACGTCTGAATAGCACAACATACCAAAGTATCGTTGCTGATCAAGTTCATCCTATCATGTTGATGGCGTCGCCCAATGGAGATGGCTTCTTCCAATAAGGCAATTCGCCATGCCACGGTGCTCGAATTGTGCAGGAGTGGTTTCAAGAACTTGAGGGAGAATTTACCTTGCTTAGGTGGCCCCCACAATCACCAGATCTCAATCCAATTGAGCATTTGTGGGACGAAGTTGAAAGAGCCATCAGGCAGCTGGTTCCACAACCATCAAATCTCAGAGAACTGGACACTGCTATTCATCATGGAGTCAATGCCAAGAAGAATCGCCGCAGTATTGAAGGCAAAAGGTGGCCCAACGAAGTACTGATGGGGTGGTCATAATAATCTGGCCACTCAGTGTATATGACATGTCTTAGATGCTTAAAGATTTTCAGTACCTTACAGCTTGCTTTTGAGCTAGGTACTACTTTTTGACATCACACACAGGTTTTGCACTCCCTCAGACCTCTCTGCACAATTGTGTTATACAGCTTGTGCCTGAACAATAAAGGAGAATGGCACACTAACAGGATCATCACTATGCTGTGTCTATCTGTCAGGTTTCTCCCTAATAAAGAGGCATGTGCAATTCAGTATTGTAATTCAGTAATGCAGTAATACAATTCAGTATTCTGATTCACTGTATTGCCCCTTCATTCCCCAGGAGTAGACTGCAAGAAGAAAATATCAGAGAGCAGCCATGTATAAAATACAGTTTATCTTTAATGAATCAATAACTGGATCAAATAGTGGCTTTTTACTACTGCCTGTAGTTCAGCTTTAATATATAACAGCAATGTATATTTGTATTCACACATTTGCTTTTTCTGCACAGTTTTTATATTATGGGTTAAAGAAACGAAACACAGCCATCTGAATTCCTTCTTCTTGGACTGTCGACATATGGTCAGCCATTGCTTTTTGTTATATTTCTAATCATTTATTTTGTAACCTTGATGGGCAATACATTGATCGTTGTGACAGTGACTATAGATGCTCAGCTTCAGTCTCCTATGTATTTTTTCCTGCGGAGCTTGTCTCTTACAGAAATTTTCTACATATCGGTGACAGTCCCCCGAATGCTCAGAGACTTCTTAAATTTAAACAAAACAATATCTTTCCTGGGTTGTGCTTCCCAGCTTTACTTTTTCTGTTTTCTTGGTACCACTGAGTGCTTCCTGCTTGCATTTATGGCATATGACCGATATGTAGCTATCTGTCATCCTCTTCATTACATGACCATAATGACCAAAGCTAAGTGCTTAGAGTTGTCACTAGGCTCATGGCTCTCTGGGATTTTATTGTCATTAGTCCAGATTTCCTATGTTTTTAGCCTGCCGTTCTGTTCTTCCAATATCATTGACCATTTCTTCTGTGATATTCTTCCAGTGGTAAAGCTAGCTTGTGCTAACACTTTTGCTAATGAGATAGCTATTTTAATATATAGCTCTCTAGTTATACCTCTGCCATTCCTGCTTATTCTGGTGTCCTACATACATATTATTACTGCTATATTAAGAATACCTTCAAGCATGGGTAGAAAGAAAGCATTTTCAACATGTGGGTCTCATCTGACATCTGTAACTTTATTCTACGGAACAGCTACAATAACTTATCTCAAGACGAAATCTACAAAAACATATGGAGGGTCAAAAATTATTTCTCTCCTCTATATTGTATTTATTCCAATGCTTAATCCTCTAATATATAGCTTGAGAAATTCAATAATTAAAAATGCCATGAAAAGACTTATAAAATATAACAAGGCTCCCTAAAGTAACATTTAGATGTATACCTTAATACCTAAATATAACTAAATATTTTAGAAGAAATTAATTAAAATTGGTAACAATGGCTGGAATTGTTCTAAGGTGTCCCTAAATGCAGCAAAAATTGGCTTAACAAAACTACATAAAATGTTACCCAATTACATAGCTTCCATGTAATCTTTAACATGTTAATATAATTAAAAATGTAATTTTTTAAAATCTGCAGCTTTTAAAAAATAATTTGTGATCCTGCAATGAAGGTCCTTGTTCAGGAAACTCCTGTAAAGGGGTGGTCAGTATATGCCCCTGTCTCCCAGTTTCTCTCACACAGCCATATGTACTTCCAGTTTAAACTACAGGTAGCCATACCAATACTTGTGCAGGCATATTCTGCATCAGGAAGCCAACCCTAAACAATGACAGGCAGCCAACAATGGAGCGTGTGTAGAGGGGAAAATGATAAAATAGATTGTAGGAGATCAGCGAAAGTGAGGTGAAAAAAAAGGTTGAAAACATAATTTTCTAAGGGCCCATTGACACCAAGTGCGATGCATTCCAGAGCGGCAGCTGCTGGAACACACAGCAATCGCTCACAAAACTTCCCCCTTTGTTCTGGGGCGGGAGGGGGTGTGGCGGTGCATTGAAGTCAATAGTACCGCAGCCAAGCCCTCCCGCCCGCAGTGCGATCGAACGTGTGGCAAAACATTGCCTTCATTGCGGTCCACTGCAAACACAAAAAATAAAACATGCAGCATTTTTTGCATTCGCAGTGGACCGGAACGCAGGCAATGTTTTGCCACACGTACGATTGCACTGGGCGTGGGGAGGGCGTGGCTGTGGTGCCATTGACTTCAATGCACCGCCACGCCCCCTCAGCATGTTCGGCCGACCCGAAGAGCAGAAGGAGTTCGACTTAGCCGATCCAACATCTGGATCGGATGAGCCGAACCTCCGGCAGGCTACTCGCTGCTGTTTGGCCTATTCTTATAGATGCCGAACAGCAGTGAGTGAATAGCCGAATGCCGCTGAATAGTTAAAAAACTTTTTAAAAAATTGTGCGGAGCTAGCAATGACAGCTAGCTCCGCCCAATAGTTTTCTATTGTCTGGCGGTTCTGCTCTCCCGGGCAAAACTCTCCCGGGCGCTCTGGGAGTCTCCCGCTCCCGGCTACCCAGGAGAGAAACACTGATTTTTCTTTTTTTTTCTTTATTCTGACACGGAGCCGTGTCAGAATAGAAAAAAAAAAAAACATTTTTGCCCATAGGATTGCATTGCTAGATTCCTATTGGCTATTTCAATTTGCAATAGCCAATAGTAAACTCGCATTGTACCCACCTTCTGCTGATGGACCTGATGGAGAACTGCAGCGCCCGGGAGAGTTTGCTGTCTGGAGATCAGTGTCCCTGGTTAGCTGGGGCTCTTATGGCTCAGAAACACTCCTTTTACTTTACTATAAAGTAATGCTTAAATGTCACCATTCCTATTAAATCTTTAGCAGCAAGCTTTTCAAATCTTAGGATGAACTATTATTGAACTATTTCCAACACCTGTAGCAGGAACATAGTTTCTAAGCATTTATTCCCTTGTTCAGGTTTGAACATTAAATTGACACTTCTGTAGTGGCTTTCTCTTCCATATTAGATTGCTATGCTTTGTATATTTCACTGGGTAGACCATCTGGTTAAAAAGATTTATTGTTCTGAAGTAATTTAACAAGTGCTTCTGACAAGTGTAGGAAATTTAATATTGTCTTAAGTACATAAATAGGGCACAGTCTTTATATGGCAGTATACAAGGTAAAGGGTGTGCATTTCATGTAAAATGAGATTTTGGCACTGTAAAATGACACTAAAACGTTGACTGTACTTGTACTATTAACTGAAAAAAAGAGTGGATTGGGTGCAGTCCATTCTGATGTCTAACCAGATGCAGTAGGACAATATTGGTTTTCTTGCTATAGGCAATCCTTTTTTTTTTTTTTTTTTTTTTAAACATCAGCGATTTTAGAGCTGAAAGTCAGATATAATTGAGTGTCATCTTTGAGAAATCCTTCAAGCAGTGTCATGGATGTGACATACATTACTGTTTGTATTTAGCCGCATTAGAGTTAAAGAGGAACGTTACCCATATCTTTAAAATAACAACAAAGGCACATTTAGAAATGTTTAGTAATGACAATCTACAAACACATACTTCTAGATAATTGCAGCCTTTTTATTTTTTGCATACCTTATTTTTCTTTTCTTCCCCAGTCTTAAGACAGTGGCCATCTTAACTAAGGGCAGATTACAAGATCCTCCTTTACTTCCTAGAACTCTGGCATATGTGACAAAGACATGTTACCATGCACATCATCTCAGGGGAGGAAAATGCCCTTCCCTGAGATCCTGTGAGATTACAGATGAGATTTCCCAGCAATGTAACCTTTCCAAGATGCAATGCTTGGGCACGATTACATCATGTGAGCGGAAAACAAGAAAGTGTAAGTAAAATAAAAATATGTTTGTTTAGCTAATTAATGTAAGATGGTTTCACATCAGCATGCAGAGCTGTATACTGATGTTATTTTTAGTCAAAGGGTGTAAAGTTCCACTTTAAGCACCTCCCGTCCGCCGAATGTAGGAAAAGAGCTGGACGGGAGCCTTCTGGATGTGGGTGGGGGTGTTAAAATGTAGTTTGCGACCACGCCTGCTCATGCGCGCTGCCTGCGATGGCTGTATACATACAAGTGGTTCCGGTGTCTGTAGAGACACCCGATCGCTTGTGTGTGGTACCTTCGCATGCACCCCCCTCTCTTCACATCTCCTCCGCTGCCGATGCTGCGATCCCGGGCTCCCTGTGCTCTGTGCCTGATCCAGGACTGGCATTGTGGCTCTGTGCAGGGAGAATGGAGCGAGAACAGTACACAATCTCCATCCGATCTCTTCCCTGTTCTGTGAATTCAGGAAATAATCTTTATTACATCACTTCCACATTCAGCTGTCACTCTTTGGCTACATAAGCCAGAGCGAAGCTGGTGAAGCAGATCTCTGCTTCATCAGCTTCTTTGAGGGTCCCTAGGTGACATTAGTGGTCTTAGAGACCCCGGATGTCTCCATAAAGAGGACCTGTCACTTTAATTTGATATCACATAGAGGGCTTCTTAGCACTCATGTGATAATGATAAAGTTAAGTGTAAAAAAAAAGTAAAAAAAAATTAGTCACACAATTTTTTAATTTACACACAAAAGAACCCTACAAAAAATGTTTTAAAGTCCCCCACCCCCACATACATGAGCAAAAATGTGGCAGGTGCGCCTACGTGCAAAAACGATGATTGCGCCCATTACACTGCACATGTTTCTTATCATCGCGGACGTCAGAGTGTGAGCAATAATTTTAGTGCCATTAATCACTGTTAACACTAAAATGACGAGTGGTAAAAGCTTTTAAAGTGTCGCCTATGGCCAATTTTGGGTGTGGTAGTTTTTTGCGATTAAGCAGGCATGCGCAATTTTAAGGATTGACGTGTTTGGTGTCTATTTACCTGACGTGAACCCGTCTTTTATATTTTACCAAAAAATTGGGTAATAATAAATGTTTCCTAACATAATAAATGGAAAACAGTTTTTTTTTTTTTTAAAAGCCCAGTGCTGATTAAATACCATCAAAAGAAAACTCCATGTGTCCCCAAAAAATTGTATAAAATTAATTTCAGTACAGCGTTGCACGACGAAATAAATGTCAAAGTACTGCAGCACTGAATATTGAAAAATGACCTGGACAGGAAAGGGGTGTAAATACTCCAGTCAGCAGGTGGTTAATAACATATTCTTTATTAGCCTTTTATGAAAACCATCATTTTACATTCACTTTCCTTATTTTTTTTATTCCACCCATAGCATTTTATGTGTAAATTCAAATCACCGCCATACCCTTTATTATGTTTATTATTTATTAAACTCTTCTATATTATCTATCCTTCTATTTTTAGTTTTCCCTTCTATTCATTATATCTTAATCTCTTTCTGTCCAGCTTGCAATATTTCTCCCTAGCTTTATTTCTTATTTCTACAACCCAACATGTTTCACCATTAATTTTATGATTTCATTAATGGTATTAAGAATTAGTGACAGAGCACATGGTGCCATTTAAAAAAAGATATCCCCTGGCATTGTGCACGCTAGCCCTATTTAGCCCCTTACTGGCACTTTTTGAAGATATCATTACACACGTCATCTACTTGCTTAACATCAGATGATGTCCTTGTGTAAGTGACATCATCATGCAGTCACACACAAGATGCCATCATGCTGGCTTCTCCAAAAGATTCACTTCCTGTAACAATCAAGTATCTACCAGAGCCAGTATCTACCTTATATTTCCTAAGAGGTGCTTTTATCCATTTATTATATGGGTCTTCCATTTTTATTTATTTACAGTATAAACCAGAGGGATATTTTGCTATTCCTATTAGTTTACTGTTTCACATATATTAAAAACTTAATTATGGGGCAATTAAATCTCATTATTGTAATTATGAAACATGATTTTCAGTCTACTATTTTTTATTTTATTGTTTTATTTTTGCTCTTGCCTCATAATTTATTTTATTTTCTAACCTGCTTATTTCTATTTTCATGCCATTTCATTCTATTTTCCTTAAGTACCCTATTAATTGTTTTTTTCAATTATATTTATAATATTTACAATGTCTGATTAGCATATAGGAAACATTAGTGCATAGTCTCTATGATACATATAAGAAGAAAGAAAATGACGCATAAAATTGGTTACCAAAACCACCTAAAGGCTAATATATGTGCCCTTATGTGGGAAACACAATTAGGCATTTAAAAAGTAGGGTTTGGAACACATTAATGATATAAACCTTAAAAAAGATGTGGGAAAAACCCAATGGAAGGTGCCAAAGTGGAAGGCTTAAAATTCTGGGGCCTTCCAACAGAGCAGTTAGGTCCAAGGAAAGGCAATTTGGATGAAAAACTATTTTTATTATTATTAGTCCT